TCTGGTCTGAACAGGAGTTTAACCTCTAGTAATTAATCTCTGTTGATCAAAGATGAACTTCAGTGTCTAGCAAGAGTGGTGTGGTGGAGGTTTTTTAACCTTTTTAAAATGTGGTGTAACATGAGCTGACATGTAATAGTAACTGGAGAGTCTCCAGGGCAGGGAGGAGCAGACGTGCCCTCAGGGGCTGGGATGTCCCTGAGCATCGGGGGATCATGTTGTGGGCAGGAGCTGACCAGCAGGCTGGGGGATCCAGGGTGGGCACAGGCAGCATGGTGGAGCAGTTCCCTGGGCTTTCATCATGTCAGCAGTGAAGGCTGTTGCCTTACTTTGGCTGCAGTCCCCAACACCCGTGTTGGAGAATGTGTGCACCCACAGTGCTGGGTTTTGAGAGCTGCCGGGAGAACCCTTGGCTGGAGGAGGGTGCTGGACACGGGTGCGAGTGCGCTGTGTCTGGGCGAGCCTCTCAACACAACAGCTACTTAAAGCACTCCCCAAACTCCCCCAAAGGAAGGGGAGGGCTCGCCCAAGGGCAGTATCTAAAAGGCTTTTGCAGTCATTAGTGCTGTCCCCTGTGCTGCAAGCTGCCTGCAATGAGCATGTCGACATCTCTGCGATGTACTCGGATTTCAAAGCCGGTCCTCCCAACCAGCTGCATCTGGAGAAATCAAGCAATTTTTTTAATTTTTTTTTTTTTTTTTTTTTCCTGAAGATACCATGCCAAGTCTTTTGAAATGAAAGCTGGGGCAGGCCTCGTGGAGATTAATGTAGGAAAAATGCTGCTGGCTTGATAAGCCACAGATGTCTGAGATTTGCTGAGGTTGTTGACAGCTCGTGATGGTTTGCAGCTTGCGAGGTCCCCCTGCCCCAGGACCGATGTGCTGGATACGTGGCTGGTGGCGCAGGGCAGGGTTTGGCCCAGCATGGTCGGTGGGTGAAGGGTTTGGGGCCTGGAAGAGAAATTGGTGAGAGCTTTAGACCAGGTCTGGACCCAGACTGTTGTTGCAGGGTTTTCTGATGTGCCGCACCTATTTATGCAAAAGGGTGTTGGCATTTTTTTTTTTTTTTAAATAATGTCGCTACTGGCAAGTGTTTTTATAACACTAATGGGAAGACGTAAACTGGTGAAATGCTGTGAAAGCATAAGGTGGTGGTGGAAACTCAGCTTATTGCACTGATCTTGGGGGATTGAAAAGGTGACTTATGTTGGTGGAATCATTCCTAGTGGGTAGCTAGAAGCTGTGCTTATGTTAACTCTACATAAATAAAACTATGCAACTTTTTTAGGTGAGACCTTCATTGAGTCCTGTTAGGTAGTACCAGTAGCACTAACAAATTGACAGCAACTTGTTTGCTCTTAAGAGCATCCTCTCATGGAACATTGTGCCAGGAGGTCCCCCGGCAGCCTGGTAGGAAATGGGGTGGTCTGGGTGCTTCGTTAGAAAGCTACAGATGATGCTTGTATAAAAGTATGATGAAATTCGTAATTTCATGACATTGTCCACACATATAGGCTAGTGTCTTTGAAATGTTGCTAGTTAGACTGTTTTTGAGTCGAGCTCTGTTGTCTTCATGATACGAAGGCCAAGTACTTCACCAACTCATGGAGATAATGTATGCGTGAAGTTGTCCCTTCCACACTGTCAGTGACTTTTCACGCAGAAATCCCCTGGGAGTCTCATCCTCTGCTTGGATTAAGGTTCTTCTGAAGCTTTATTCTTGCATGCCCAGAAATTGTATGTTCATATTTGTTTTAGGCAAATTTAATTTCATTGAAGTTGCTGTTAATTTGTGAAGTGATGCTTTTTTCATCACCATAAAATAAATACCTTTGCATACACTGGTGTTTATATGCAACTTATATGCAACCAATACTTTCCACATCTGGGTAACCGATTGGAATTGGTTTAACCCCAACATCCAACAGGTCTCAGGCAAATGTGGAAAACTGGTTTGTGAAAATAAATTGAACCAAAATAGCCTTTGAATTTTTTTTTTTTCCCTCAGAACAGCGAAACTTTCTGTAAAATTGTGGTGAACACTAGGTAAGAAAGTATATTCACATGATCTTGAAATGGATGTAGTGATTTAAGCGCAAATTTATAGTATTAATCTGTGCACCTACTTGTACATGAATGAGCAAAGACTCAGGCCTTTCTGGTCATCTTTGCAGTGCTGTCACTTCTCCCTAGTGACAGCCTCTATTGCATACCCAGGCTGGGACAGTTTGTCTTGTGTCTAATCAGCATCTCATGGTACAATGTGGAGGCTGCTGATATTTAGTGGATGTATTTTTACTGGGAAGACATGTACATTGGTAGCACACACAAGTTTGATAGAGGTAGTTGAGAAAGTTTTCCTATCATTTATGGAAGTTGTATTCCCTGTACTCCCAAAAGTAGCAATAGTTTTAGAGGAATTTTAAAGGAAAATGGTATGAAACTTACCAACGACATGATTTCAGTTACCCAGAATGTTTGGGTATTTGAGGAGGAAATTTGAAAATTGTGTCTTTGGAGTAGGTGAGGAGGACAGAGACTGGCTACGTTATATATCATATTATATATTGATCTGATAGAGCTTTTCAATATTGTGTGTTCACAGTGAGGGGGGGAGGGAATAAAAAGCATTATAGATAATCCTTATATGATCCTTTTTGCTCATGAGCACCCAGGAGACTGGTATTGCCATAGTCGAGTAAATACCCCATGCCATCTAGTAGCATCGTGTTATAGGAAAGGAAACCCTGCTATCTACATTTGCCAAGGGGGAACAGAGATGAGACACGGCTCACGGGAGCCCCAGAGGAGGGGGGGGTTTGTCAGGTGTCCTCTTCGTGGCTTGTCAGTGCAAAGAAATCTTCTGCTCTTCTTGGGCTCACAGCTCCTGTAGGGCTGTAGATAAAGATCCCACGTTACTGTCTAAAACCCTGTATCCTTGGGTGGCGTTTGGACCTTCAGTATTTAGGGCGTTGTTTTTCCTTACCCGGAGGAATAAATGATTAGTTCATCTACTGTATATTGGTGTGTGCCTCTGCTGGGAAATCCAACACTAATATAAATTCAATTGTAAGAGTTTTGTGAGGAGGAGCAGGGTAAAAATGTCACCCTGTTTGGGATGGGAATGTGCCTCCTGAACTCCAGACAGGGTTTCTTTTGGGTAGCTCGTCTATTGTGCCAAGCCAACCTGCAGTGGGGGTGATTTCAGCGTTGTTTATAGCTTTATTATGCAAGTCGGTAGGGTAAGACATAAGCACGGTTTAATGAAGCTCTCTGAGTTTTGAGTAACTTCTGCAACCGCTGAGTTTGAGAGAGTGCTGTGCTGTAGCTGACCTAGGACTTCTGAGTAGTTCTTAGTGCGCTGAATCTCATTTTCATGATCTTAGTTATGTTATTTAAGTATGTTAGTTAAATCCATTATTTGTTGGGAGGAATGGGTCTATAACCTGAAAATGTCTCAAACAAGCAGGTATCTGAATAAAATTACTTGTGAAGTTTTGTGGAAATAAAAATATGAAACTTGCCATATAAAATCTGAGAAATGGCAGTGCTACGTAAAACCATAAAACCCCTGCAGGACTGTGGGCTTTTTTAGAAGAATAAGGGAAAAGTGTAATTTATGCCTAGATAATTAGTGGTGTTTTACCACTGAAATGTACACCACTTGGAAGAGTCACCAGAGCCTTTCACACCTGCATGGGGTATGAAATTCCAAACAATTAAAACAATATTTCTTCCGGAAAAGAAGTCTATTGTGCCCTAGCAAAAAGCATATTGCAGGAGTGGAAACAAATGTAGTAAAGCAGAATGTGTGATAAATAGAAAACGTACTGTCAAAGACTTTGACACATCTTTTCTTTTGAAAAATTTAATATGCAGTAACTTTGTGAGCAAATGTCACTTTTGAAGCTGAATTTATAGTAGCATTCCTTGATTCCTTGTGAAAGGCTTTTGCTTTTTAAGAATGGTATCTTGGAGTCGTGTAATTTTGCTTGGTTTTTTTAAAAAACAAACACCCCCACAGTACCATTTTGGTCTCTTGGTTGAGAACTGAAAACAAGTAGTACAAGTAGTTAAAAGTAATCTAAAAAATAAACAACTTGTCCATATTCCTACTTATCTTCTAGCTGAAAGGAACTGTAGAAGAGGGGGTACAATACAAGTTTTTATATTAAATATTCATTTTGTCCTGTCCTTGCTATGCAAGTGTTCATTATTTCTTCAGAGGGGTAAACAAAGACTCCAGTGTATCGGTCACTTAATTTTTACACTTGCTTATTCCATGAATGTCGTTACTGTTATATTTAAGAATTTTTATATGTACCTTGAGAAAGTGAATACCTAAAAAAGAGGATTTTTTTTTTCAGTTGACAGCTCTAAATGTCATTCCTGAGTGTTTGTGAAAGCATATTAAAAAATTTATTTAGAAAAGGAGAGGAGTTGTTTGACAGGAAAAAGAAGGTATTTGACTTTCATTAGTTTTTGTTTTCATGGTCACGTAAAGGGTGAAAAGGCATTTAAGAAAATGAAAGCTGAAATCCTTTGCATCCCTGGTGTGAAGCAGAAAGAGCCACCTGCGCTCCACGGGTGCTTGGTGCCATCCCTCTCCTGCTTCCCTATTTTTGGAAGCCTCTGTAGAAGGTCACAGGGAAACATAACCCCCAGCTCCTAAGGCAAAAGCAGCCTGGATTATCATTCATGTGAAACTAAAGACGGAGTGCTAGTAGAGAGCAAATAGTTACTCCTGTTAGTATTTCCTAGATGAACACAAGTAGCTTAAATTTCAGTTGTGCAAAATTAGTTGCTGAATTTAAAATGTTTAGCTCTAATTTCCTGCCCCCCCCCCCCCCCGGTCAGTCATTCATTATTGCAATCTAATGTTAGAAATCTAATCACTGTTTCTGAGGAAGTATTTCAGGAAACCACCTAGACAAAGCATTTTAATACAAAAATTAGAAGAACGGCTATTTGTCAATTAGATACAAATGCATGATACAGGATTTATTCTTACTCATATACTTTGTTCAGTTTTAATGTGCAATTACTGTACTTGTATTAGGAAGCAATAAATAGTTATATTGATACCTTTTGCATTTTACTAGAAATAGTCATTGAAAGGAAAACACACAGCGGATCACGAAAGAATTGTTTGGAAATTAATTTCCCTGATGGTTTTCTCGTATTGACGCTTCTTGGCTCCGGTCTCTGGTCAGACAGGGATGCACTGGACACCAGAGGGTGCTTCCCGTATTGGTGAGCTGTGCTGGTTTTTGTCTCTAACAAAAGAAAGGGTGGGATATTGGGATATTGGGGAGTGTCAGGGTGAGGTAAGTGGAGGATTTGACTCGGGGTTTTGGTCCCAGTACGCCTGTGCCCATCCTGCTCTTTAGCTCCAGCTTCCCACCAAGTGTGTCCCGGAGCGCACCAGCACTGGGGAAGGGCTCTGCCTGCCCTGGCTGCGGCCGTGGTTCCCAGCATGTCCCCAGTTGAGATCTGTGGCTTTGTTCCTCTTGTGCCGATCAGTACATACCTTCTCCAGGGAAAGCTGGTTTTGTGTTGTCTCTTAAATCTTTTTTTAGTGGTAACTACAATAATAAAATCTTAAAAGTATATTTAGAAGCTGTACTTAAAATTCTAGTCCTTCAGAAGGGGAGAAAGTGCCGATTTTACCATTCGATGAATACCATAAGCTGATTTATGGCTTCTTTTGACGCTCAGTCATGCGACAGAGGCAAAGGAGCAGCTGGTAATGCAACCAGTAAAAGTTAAAATAAAGAGAAGGAAATGCTATATAACAACAGCAGAGGGATATTATTAGCTCCTGCATGCTGCTGGAGAAGATCTGTGGGATGAGAGTTCTTCTGGAGGCCAGGGAGCTTTCCCCAGGGCTCCCAAACCCATCGCCCACACACCAGCTTTCAGGACTAGTGTTGCCCAGCAGGAGCTGGTCTGGACCAGGCCGTGCCGTGACAGACCAAGGGTGATAGATGGAGAGGTGCTGGCTGATGGCACAGCCGAGTCCAGCGCCTGCGGTGTGCTTTTGCTAAAAGGGACTTCGGTGTAATCAAGTGTGCTGGATAAGACAGAAAAATACCATGAGTTGAGGCAGCTTGGGGAATTAAAGATGAACTTTTTTTCGGTGTGTTGCATTATCAAATTGGGCAGGACCGGGGCGACCCTTCATTTGAAGGCAGGTGCCAAAGTACAGACCTGCTGGGCAGACAGTGCTCAGAGGATGCCACGTCAGTAACATGTAGAAAATTGGGATTCCTGTCCCGTGGAGTGCTCTGTCACGGGAAGTGCGGGGCAGTCCCTCTCCTAACCTTACCAAGGTCACTGTTGGAGCCTTGAGTCATGCTCATACGGGTCTCTGTGAGAAACTGCTCCAGACATTGCTCTGACAGTGCAACCTCCTCTTCCTATTTGACAGCCCACTTCCTAAGATGAGCCATCGACTCCCTGAGCTCAGCAGGCTGGCGAAGTGTGAGATGCTGTAATGTGTACAAATTCAAATTTCTGCAAGGAGCGAAAAGGCAAGAACAATTAACATTAGTAATACTTAACTGAAACAAAATACTACCAAACCCAACAGCAACAACATACCTGAACCCCCACAACCTTCCATCCCAACTGTCTTAAAACAGGAAAAAGCTCCTCACATAGGAAACTACAGAAGGAGCATTCAGAAGGGCAAAGAGAGAAGAATTCAAACCCTGGAAAAGGTACATGGGATACCAAATGAGGCGTGGTCTGGCTCAGGATGGTTTTTGTGACCCTTCCCTGCACATACTCCAGATGAAATTCCTCCCTCTTAAATACCGAGTTGAAGCATACCCAGTACACTGAAGGAGGTACTGCTGACACTTGCACAGCGGCGTGAACACCTCCCTGTGTGTGTCTGCTGAGGACTCCTCTTGTGATACAGGGCATGATCGCATTCACGGCTTTGGGAACTGCATCACGTTGATACTGATACCAGGACCAGCTCTGGCACCCACGGCTGCTCGGTCCTTCACAGCTTTTAATGAGCTAACAAATTGTAACAATAAACCCCTGCAATTAGTCCCATGCGTTTACTGCATTTTACACTATGGTCACCCACAGCTGCTTTTTTTTTTTTTAAACTTGAGTTTAGGCAGTTTCTTGTGTACAGCAGCCCCCAAATTCCTTTCTGCTGGCAATGCTTTTCAACTTGATTAATTGAAAGACTTTGTATTTTTGTCTCAAGATAGTGAATGAAAATACTTAAAGATCTGTCCCACGGCTGTTCTTGACAATCTCTGCTAGTAGTTTTTCTCCAACCTGATATTTTGCTTCTCAAAACAACTTACTTCCATTTTGTCTTGGCTCAAAGTTGCGTTCAAATAATAGATTCTCTGCTAATCTTTCATCTTCTTTTGAGTAACGTTTCTCCTGTGTCACCATGTCAAATGGTTTATTAATGTCCAAACATAAGATTTCTTGTATCAGTTTATTTGATAAAAGTTTTCTAGAAGAAATAAGTCATTTACTTGGATACACACAATGTTTGGACAGTTGGTCTGTTATACTCACTTTCCCCTTTGTCTTGTTAAATTTCCTTTAAGATTCCTTCAAAAGCATTAAATACTTAAATCTAATTTTTTGCAGTCATTTCTGAACTCTGGTTTTAAATATCAGCACTATATTCTTGCACTGTATTCTTTTTGATCAGCTGGAAGCATCTGTGACCTGGAAAACTTATTCTAAATGCTTAATGTAGTTTTATTCTGCCTGCCTTTCAGTCCTGTGTCCGCCAACCTGGACATACTCCATTTCTTGAGTTTTGCTTCCATCTTGGTTGTGATGATGGCATATCCTCATTGACATTATTTATATCACCCTGATCCATCTTGAAAACTGAGGTCAAGTTCTCAAAGCTGTATCTAGATCATCCTTGATCTATGTCCTATCTGTATCGTATAACACCCTTTCTTTTCTCCCTTGCTGTTCTCGTATTTGTACACAACCACCTTGTTGTTGGTGGTTCTGAAATACAACTTTTCAGAGTTGCAAAACAGCGTCTGTGCAAACTGTATTTAAAAAGTAGAATAATCTTTATCGACAGTGTGATGTTTTTTATATGCCCTAAACTTTCCTGAATCCATTTTGCACTTTTTAAAATCAGGTGTATTTGTGTCATTTTAGAAAGTGAGGTATGATTTATCAAAAAGAGCTTCCAAACCACAGACTGAAAAATAGTTTGTCCTTAGCAAGTGAGATGGTTTTGGCAGCAATTGCACTAAACAGGGAATTTCCAATCTTGGCTGCTAACATGAGATTCCTTGTTTAGGATTACATTGCTTGTAGATTACAGAACTGGCCACAGAATAGACACACTGCTCAAATGACAGATTTGTCCAACCTGTGCTGTGTTACAGGAAACAGAGCTGTGTTTTGTAAACCAGAGCTAATATTTTCCATCTGTAACCAAGTACAAGACTGATGAAGGACATAAAGAATATTCTGCAATGGAGAATGCCTGGAAGGAGAAATTCCTAGTCCTTTTTTTAAAAAAAGAGAAGGTTGCATTTCGGTTTTGTTTAGTGTTCTCATAAGAATTTGTAGTGTCCTGAAAATGAACGTTATCCTTTTCTAGAAAAATAAATGTCCCTTAAACAGCCCAAAGCAGCTATGAGCAGAGATTCTCCAGGGAGAGCTTTGTAGCTCTTACGCACTTTGAGATGAAACATTTCCATTTAGTAGATGACTTGTAACATTCCCATGAAAATGCATTGTGTATGTTGTTGGGGGAAATGTCAAAGATTGGGTCAGTTATGATCTCCTTTTTGCTCCCCTCCTTTCTACAGAACTGAACAAGCTCTGCCAAATTTGGTTTCTTTTCTAGCATACCCAAATTTATATATGTTATGAGAATACAGGGACTTCTCTTTCTGCTTTACCCCAGCAATCCCCAATGAGTGCGACAAATCTAGAAATGAAGTGGTAGGTACTGGCCATGAGGAGCTGCTGCTTTCTCACACGAAGGATGAGCAATCATAAATATTTCACGTGCCCACTTCCACAAAAGCCTTAGTACTTGGGGATAGTCAACTTTTGGTAATTGTTAATAGGTATTTAGCTTATCGTAGGGCTGAAAGGTCCCACTGAAGTACAGCTTCCCGTTTGGGGAGGGAGGAGATAGACCCTCCCAAACCACATTGGAGCTGCTCCCTTTTGATAGTCAGTGGACAGAAAGAACAGTGCATCCCTTCCTGAAATAGGTAGTGCCAGCAGGCTGGGTGAATCCTGCCTGCAACTGGCTGCTGCTTTTCCCCGATTGCAAAGGGGGAGCTGCAGATGTTTACATTGTATGTCCCTGATCCTCAGAGTTGCTGAGCATCTTGCAGCCTGTTAGCGTAACACGTGAACACCCAGCCCGAGGGAAGAGCCCCACGTTGTGGGTCAGGAGCTGAGCTGGGGGGAGGGTCCCTGTACGGTGTGTTGCAGAGTCTGTAAACGGATCGGTGGCAGGTGAACTTGTGTTTTTGGCTAGCTAGTGGGTTGCGGGCCATCTAGTGTTCCTTTGTTCCTTTTAAACAAAAAGGTAATGGTGCCAATTTGAGAGGTTTTTCTGATTTATCCTCACTAGAGAAGCTTGCTTGGGAGCTGCTGTTGCGTTACCAAATTGGTTTAGAGAGAAGGGGAGGTTCTGGCTAGGGTAGCCTTCTGTGAGGAGCTCTTGCTGTACTCATCACGTGTGGACCCAAAAGTGGTGTGTGGGGGTGTGCTGTGTGAACCCCAGGGCCAGAAGTGCCTGTGTAAAAGGGAGAGCTGTGTAAGGTCAAAAGAAAAAAAAAAAAGATGGCCCTCAACGGATGACAGCAGACCGCAAGAAGGGAGACTACTGCCAGGCTGGGCCCTGCAGGGCGCTGAGGCGGTGTGCCCAGCAAATGATGCTGGTTTTGTGCAGAACAGATGGCTACAAACGTTTCACACTTGTGAAAGGGGATTTCTAAAAGCGCAGAGTTTGGCTCAAAGTATTTCTTCAAGGTTGTGGTGCCTGCAGCAGTCATGGGGCTGTGTGTTAACCGCTGTGTGAAAAGTGCTGTATGTATAAAGTAAATAGTCCTCTGCCCAGCTGTGTTCGATAGCAATGACTGTGCAAAGCCCATGAGTGGCTAATTTTTTTTTTCCATAGCTTGTCACTCCTGTAAACAATTGCACATGATTTCACCCTAATTTAGCCATGTGCTACTCTGCAGATGGAATCTAGGACGTTGCTGGGGGTGTACAAATATTGTAGTGGTCCTAGAAAGTAGGCTTTATGTATAAAGATTAGTAAATCACCAGTGGGAGCTGCAACTCAGTTACGCGTTTCAAGAGAAATAAAGTTGAGGTGACTTTTTTACCAGACAACGGACCCAGCTGTAAAATTTCAGTTAGTAACCATGTATTTCTGATATATAGGGATACAACTTCTCAGTGCTTGTAAAACACAAAGATAATTTAATGTAAAGTTTAGTATCAAACAAAATTACTTTCTCACACTAACAAACTTTTCCAGGAGGAAACAGCTGGTGGTGATGTTACAGCCCCAGCCTTCAGTAGGGTATACAACAGAAGTATTGGTACCCTCTCAAGTGGGAACACTATGAGGGACTGTTACTTCAAAGAAGCTGACATCCCATCCAAGGTAGTCAGTGTCTATTAAAAATTAGAGGCAGTGATTAGGTGGTGATTAATCTGGGAGAAGGGGTACCTGCTTAAGGTGGCTGTTGTTCCAAACTGGGAGTCTGTGCTAGTCTTACTGTAAACTAAGACTTTGAGCAATGGTCTGGGACACAGTGATACTTGTAAGGAAACTTCAAATTAAAGAGAGGGTTTGAGGTGTCTAGCTATAAAGGGGAGAGTTTGGTTTCTTTTGCATTTTCAGCTGGTAAGAGAGAAGTTTTTCTAAGGTAAATCCTGAATTTGCTTTAGCCTGGGGTTTAGGATTGGGCCAAAAAGTAGGTATACTTGTGTATTTGGTAATACTAAATCAGAAGTGAACACTGGTATTGTTTTCATGTAGTATCTTTACCTTTTGAACCAAAAGTAATTGATGCTTGGTATTGCTTCTGCTAAGGTTAAGTCTGGAGTTCAAGCTTTGATTAGGTCTGAATTGAAAAACAGAGAAGCCTCATTATTAACTGTTCATGTTAATCACAGGGAGATGGGACAGCAGAGCTGGGTACCATTTCCCACATCTTCAGCCAGGAAGAACTGAAAGAGCAGCACTGGTTGCTGTGTGGCGATGAAATTCAGTTTGGAATTGGAGAACTTGTTTAACATAAGTAAAGGAGACACACAGTAAATCTAATCCTCCCGAAACAAGAGTTGGTGTTCAAATTGCTAAATGCTGCCTTGCTCTTTCAAAGCAGGTCGTGGACAGTTGGCAATCTCTGTTTATTGGGTCAGGGCTTAGGGTAGTGGGTTTTTTCTGTCTGGTTCTGATAAAAGCTGGCTGTGAGTGCTGTCTTACACCAGTTTTAGCCAGTCATTAGCTGTCCCATGCACAGGTTGCTGCTCTTGTCTTGGTAGGCTTCAGCTGCTTTTAAGATTAGTAGTGAAGCTGGGAAATCAGGTGTTTTCAGAAAAAGAGGTAGCTGAGCCTGTAACTAGTAGAGCCCTTAATGCTTGCAGCTGGAAGCTAAAAGCCTGCTTTAGCAGACATTTTTCTTCATTTGCTAGAAACATCCATGATTATTGTGACTAGGTCTGCTGATTGTGGCTTTGTTTAGGTGTAGAATTGGAGCTAGATTTGCAACTGTCAGCACAGGGGATTCAAACACATTTATTGTAAAAACAGTCCTGCACAGGTAGGGTGAGAGCTGGCACTTGCACGAACCTGTGCCAGCGGAACAGGGTAAAGTTTTTTAGTTTCCTTAAACTGAACTAAATGCTTCTGTAGTATTAAGGCAGTGGTTAGTGCTGAGATGGAGACTCCAGCTCAGGAAAGCCAAGGCTAGCGGTTCAGGTGTTAAATCCTTATACTTTAGAGTTCAAGCTGGATGAGGAAAGGAGAATGCTTTATCATGACCAGTGTTGGTCAGGGATACACCATCTTGCTAAATAGAGCCAGCCTTGCAGCTCCCAACAGCAGGACCCCAGCTGGTCCCTGTAAATGGTTTACTAGTTTTGATTCAAGAATGAGTTACCAGGGGCTAGATCTAGTGACAGCAAAGGATGGAGGTTAGGGGTGGGACTGAAGACTTGCTTCTGCCTTTCAAATTTAGGCTGGAGGCTGGGTCTGGGGTTGTCTAATGACTCATCCCAGGGCAGTGCTTGCAGGTGGGATTAACACAAGATTAAGTAAAGATATGGAACCAGGAGAACTCAAACACTTCATTTGTTTAGTTCTTCCCCGTTTCCCTTTTTGGGAAACTTGCTTTTCAGCCTGTGTCCAGTGTGCTTGGAAGCTCCTTTTTGCAGGTGATCTGTGAATCTCATACATTTCTTTTCAATGTTAAATCGTTATTTATAGCAAGGAGTTTGATGGAGGCTGTGGAATTATTGGCTGTAAGTTTTATAAAGCAAGCCAAATGACGAACAAAAATAATTTGGCTTCACATTCCTCTAAGCCAAGCGCTGTATTATCTCTGCTGCTAATCAGGGATCCATAAAAATCTGCATTAACGCCTTTCAGATTTGCTCAGTTCTATTACCTTGCAGATTTTGGACTTTTAGCCTAATTAAACCCTGGAAAATGAGAATTTGGTATAGCTGTAAATTTGATAGCAGACACGGAAAAAGATTGTGCATAAGCTGTTAAAGTGCTGCCATGTGAGGACAGGCAAAGGGGAAGAAGGGGGACTGTGGCATTGCTGTTGGGGAAAAGCTGTTGTGTTTTGCAGAGCATTTCTCCAGGATGGGGAATGGCCTGGGACGCCCTGCAGCCACCCCTGGGCATCAGGTCAGTCATGAGCAGACGTGTGGCAAGGGACTGGTAGGTTGCTCACCATGAAGGCAAATTAAGAGGCCAAATTAAGAGGCTGCTGTCTTCCTCTGGCATGAGAATGAGCTCCTGGGGCTTGGCAAGGCTCTAAGAAAACAGAAAAGACAGCAGTAAGAAAACTTGTAGCCAGATGTAATTGTAAACTGCTGGGAAAACACTAGGGAAGAATGGGGAAAGCAGTTGTAATTATCTGTAAACTCTATGTATCTTTGTGTAGTGAAAGAATTCGGTGATGCTTTGTAAAGAATTAGGTCTGCAGTAAACTGGGAGCTGATGAAAACTGGAAGTGATCATGCTAGAAGGTTTGTGAGGCTTTACTCTTCCAAATGTTTATATGGGCCAGCTTGTGTTGTCCCTGGTTTGATCACCTGATTGCCACTGATTATTTTTCCTTTCTTCCTTGGACTTCAATGGACCAGCAGTCTAGAAAGGACTGGATTTATTTTCCCCCTCTGTTCTGCTCCTGCCCCGTTAGGAAGACGAGTTAAATGTCCTGGCAAGCACATCCCTGAACTTCTGGGAGACCTTGTGAGGGTCCTGGTGGTATGTGTCCAGTGCTTCCAGGGGTCCTGCCAGACTAGAAATGGGAGTTTGGGTGATGCCAAAAGGTGAGAAAAAAAATCAGTATTTAGTTCACTTCTTCCTGAATGCCAAGCTTGCTCAGCCCTCTGCATTAGGGTGGGCCGTGCTCAGGTCCTGGGCTTCCCCGGTCCATCCTGTCCTCCACCTTCTTTGCAGTGTGGTCAGACAGCCTGGGGCTGTGTGCCTCAAACCAGAAGGGCCTGGGGGCCACTCCCCCAGTCTCCCTGTGGTATGCTTCATCCACACTTCTCACCATGGGGGACACTCCTGGAGGCTGGTATTTCATATTGCCACGCTGCCACAACCCTCCATGACAAGGAGAAAATTTCAGTCGCTTGCCTCATTGGGTTGCAAATGTTTATGAATACCGCAACTAACAGCCTGGGTAAGTGGAAGATTAATTTCTATACCACCTGGCGGCAAGCTGTGGATTAGGCTGCTGTCCCTCGTGTGGGTTTAATGTTAGAGGAATGGGGCATTCGAGTACTCAGACAATTGGCCTCTTGTTTAAACAATGAGCTTCTCGGTCTTGTTAGCCAGCGCTCTTAAATTTTCATTTTATGCTGGAATGCAGGCTTGTGTGATGTGGAGAATTGCTTCAGCACAGAAACCTGTTCAGTTAAAGGAACTGCTCAGATCCAGCTGTTGGCGACCCATGAATGCCAGTGCTCCTTGCAGAGTAAATAAGACTGACACACTGCCCTTGGAACAGATATCATGATTTGTGCCTTCATTCTTCTGAAAAAAAGAACCTTTGTTGAGGAAGGACGGTTGGGGAAAGGGGGAGAATGCAAAGCTTGGTGCAGAAACTGCCCTGTGTGACAGTCTTCTGCAGCTAACACTGAGGTCCCTATAGCATAAGCCTAGTAACAAGGCACTGTAAGAAGCACGTCTAGTAGTTCTTGTTACAGCTATAGAATTGTCTTGTAAATTTTGAATGCTTTTTCCTCTCATGAAAGAACATATGGTACAACATAACTTACCCTATGCATCTACTTCCAAGAACCAGGCTAACAGGCATAGCTGGGGTGTGCACACACTCAGCCCGTGTGCAGGACCCTTCTCCCTACCCTGTGTGTCTGGTTTTTCAGTTGCCTCGGTTTTGGTGGTAAGTTGCTGCACCTATTTGTGGGTGACAGGAGTGTCTGGGTGGTACTGGATGGGCAGTTGGTTATGCCAGACATCTTAGTACCAGTCAGGAAACAATGTGTATCTATATAAAAGATCTGTCACATTTTTTATGTATAATATATATAAATTAAAAAATAGGTAATATTACATACAGAAAATATATAGATATACATTATTTTTATATATTATATATTATTATTATACCAAAAGTATAATATAATATATGTATCTGTAAAAGGCTGTAGCAGTTCCAGTAGATGCTGAATACATTTCACATGCAGAGCAGCTGACAATGCTTATGTCTCAGCCAGGAGCTGAGTACCTGAGACCCGGTCAGGGGAAAGATGATGTTGGGATGGGACAAAGCCCAGGAAGAACCACAGCAAGGTGGTAAAGCCTGGCCCCTGGAATCCCTGCCCCAGAGCAAGGGGGCTGGGAATGCTGCTGTCTCTTCTCCCTCAGGCTCCTTTTGTTCCCTGTTTAAAAGTTGTGACATGGGAGCTTTGAAATGTCACTGGCCAGTTTCAGCTGCTGAAATGGAAATGATGCTCTGGCCCTCAGCTTGAGCACTCATGCCCTATGTGTCACAGGCTGAATCAGAAAAAGTTGCTTTTTAAGCTACTAGCCAGGACTGAGGCACCCAGGGTTGCAGCCCATAGCCAAACTAGATAGTGAAGTGCTTGGTTGGTAATTGGCCATTCCAAGTGTCACTTTTAGTCAGGCGTATGTCCATCTTCTGTCTATCCGTATATGTATATCTATATAGCATTTATGTACAGGCACACATTTTAAAATAAAAATCAAATGTCTGACTTTCTTACCTGATTAAGAAAGGGCTGGTGCTTTAAATCAGTGCAGAACATGCAGTGGCTGTTGAGTCAAAACTTTGCAGCTTTTCTAACATGTGATGCTTGTTCCAGGCAGCAGCTGAGCCCACAGCTTCTCTACAAGGAGTTTCACTGAAGAAATTGAAGAAATGCCCTCTGCCTGTGCCCAGCAGCTCCAATCAGCCTTTTATGGTAGATGGCAAAACACTGGAAGAACTTTGAAAGAAATTGTTACCAGGTGGTTGGTCTTGCTGTTTTTAAGTGAGGTATGAATAGCACCCCTTGTCCCACCTTCATTTATTTATTATTATTATTGTGTATTTTAAATACACATTACTAATAAATTGAAAGAGCTGCTTTGTAAATGAAAAATAAATACTTCTACCCTTCAGCATGATATGATGTGTATCTGGTTTTCTTTCAGCTAAGTTAAAATAGCAAAAAGGGAGGTAGGGTCCAGTTGATGAGGTAGGTGGTAAAAATCAGAGTTGGGACATTAAGGGAAGTGGGCTGAAACCATGCACTTAATGCCTCCCAGCCCTGTTCCTCTGTGTTTGGATCAACTGTTACTAGATAAGTACCTAGGATATTTAGTCAAAAGCAACCCCCTAGCTCCAGCACCCCAAACCCCCTGGAGTTGTCTGTTCCTGACTAGTGTAGATGCTTTCAAGACTGCTCTCCTGGCAGGTCAGCAGCCTCACACTACCCTTAGACAAACAGTGCCAAAGCCAGACTGTTGCAGTGAGGAATGTCTCTAACCCTTAACTTTGCTTTGGATGTAGGTTTTTGCAGATGTGCTGCCCTGAGGATGAAGAACAGAAGGCCAGGCCACAGGAACACATTTGTCTTACCACCCCTTGGACCTATTCTCGCCCCCTCTGCTTCTCTCCTGCTGCAAGGGAAGTGCTGCACAGGCACAGTGCCCCTGGCCTGCACCGTCACTTGGGGGACCATGGCTGAGGGAAACATGCTGATGGGTGCAGAGGGGGTGTCACCTCCCCGCCTACCTCCCTTGCCAGGGCTTCAGTTCACCTAGAACAGGGCTGCATGGTGAGGGGGTGATGGCCATTGAGAGAGAGGACTCCGGATGGATGTAAGCAAGAAGTCAAGAGTTTGGAGTTGAAATCAAAGCCAAAGTCATGGCTGAAGTAATTTTTTGTCAACAATTCTTCTACAATTATAGAGTCTCTAACAGTACTTGTCAACATTTCAACAGCCCTCTAACAGCTGACTCCTGATCTTTTATTCCTCTCTTGGAGAGTATATGCAGTAGGAGCCTCACTATCACACTCTCTTCTGCTGCTAAACTCTGCCCCATCCTGCCCCGGCTGCTCACCTTGCTGGGTGTTATTCCCGCTGCAGCGTATCCTCTTTATCTCCAAGATGTCATCTCAGCCCCTGTCTCAGTTCTGCTGAGCAGCTTCCAGCTGGTGTCTTTCTCTGCCTGACCTTCGCTGATCACATCGGGGTCACCATTAGAGGAGAATAATGGGACTCTGGCAACTCTGTAAGAGTCATAAATTGAAGACCTTTATTGCCAATACAAGCATATTTATATATCTTCCTAGCAACTGATCACACAAAACCAAAAAAGCTGGATTGGTTACACGCATTCTCCACATGTTGTCCATGCGCCTAAGACTAACATTTGATTGGTCATTACCCTCTGTCCATAATACACCAGACAACTCATTGGCTACAAGTTAGTGCTATCCTCAGCCTATTGGTTAATTAAATCTTACAAGCACAAACACAATGTTCTATACACTTTTAGCTCAAGGTAGAAAACTTTCCACTGTTTAAGAAACTGCCAGGTGTTTTTCTTTAACTGTCCCCTTGCATGTTTTCTTCAGACAAAGCTCAGCATCCTTATCTTGTTTTTCTGCATTCCTGTTTGCTGCTCCCAAGGCTTCTGGCCGACCAAGGTCAAGTTGTCCGCATCATTCACTAGCTGTACAGCACTCTCAGTTCTTCCCAGCCATCCTGCTACAAGGGGGGAAGGGGACATACAACCCTTCCAACCTTAAAAACCACCCTGCCATCTGGCTGGCACCCTCCCCGGGCCCTTCATCCCCAGCCACCCTTGCTGGGCAGGAGGAAGGGGAGATGCTCACTCAGAACAAGCTTGGGTGCTGCTTCACCTGCCCTACAAACCACTTGTGTTCCAGCTGTGAGACACCAACCTCTTATGCCTGCCACCCTGGATACCCCCACCCGTGGCACACCATCAAGACAGGACCTGTGTGCTACTTATGCCCTGTCTGCAAGTCATAAAACCAGGGGGTAGTGCACTGGGTGTGCCCCCACCAGCTCTACTCACTGCACCCATGAGCTGCACACAACACTCATGTGCCATATACATGACAACGCACTTGTACTGCACACATGAAATTCCCTGTGATTTACAACACACGGCGGCTGCACATCAGGATGCCTGACCCCTGTGTAACACCACAGCCTTGCCATAGAGACTGTGACACACTACCCCTTACAACCCCCTGCATGACCATCTGACCACCCCCATAAAACACCCCCTAAGCTGCACAAACATCAGCATGTGCTGCACACCTGTAACACCACACAGGTGCTTGCAGGCATGACACAGCAGTTGTGACACTGCAGATGGAAGATGTGCCATGCAGGACATAGTAATGTGTATGTTGGCACTTGCATGTGCTTATGACACAAACCACACCCCAGAATACAATTGCAAACATCTGCCCTTTGCACACACACCTAACCTACCTGCAGCACTCATGTGCCCCCCGTACACCGTAACTCACACGTCTGCTACCACATGTAGCCCCCACTTGTCACTTATCATACATCCTTCCATCCCCTTACTGTGCAAGGAAGAAGCTGTTCCATAAGGTCTTGCAGCGTAACTACAGTTGGGTTTTAAGACATGTTTACTATCATATTATTGGACCCTTTCTCCACATCAGATACCTCACTACTTTAACAACATGCCTACCCCTTGTACAGACGCTCTCAGTCTGTCCCCTGGCAGCAGCCCACCGCCCGTTCCCAAGCCCCACTGTACATCAGGGGACGCTTTCACAGTTCAGGTTTCCCAGCTCACTGAGGGGGGTGACAGGAAGCAAAAGCAAAGCACAGCCCCCCCTCAGTAGAACAGCTGAGGGCCACATCCATCCAGCTCTACACAGCTGTAGTCATTTCTGCCGCACACCACCTTTACCTGCACATCACCATACTAGCTAAAATATTTGCCTTTGACCATCTTGGTCTTTTACCTTTCCCAACACACGTATCCCCATGCCCCTCAGCAATACCAGCATGCTCTCAAGTATCCCCCAAGGCATTGCTCTAAAGATACAGTTGGATAGCACAGCACTAGGAGCCTGGGGAAGTTCAAGTGACCCTCCTTTTCCCCCACTTATTTAGCAACAGGGGTTAACTTCAATGACCATAAAGCACCTGGTCTGTTTCACTTTGTGTTTGAAGAAAATAACCACAAATCAACAAAAGCCGTAAGCTTTTATACCTTAGCATTATAGTAAATTCAGACTGCAGAAAGGAGGGTTGCTGAAGTCCCAGCTCTGTGGTCAAAGCTTAAGTGTATTTGCCAAGTGTGAGTCTCTTTCCCCAAATAAAACATTTCATCCAAGCAAGCTGGTTATCAACACCCCCTCTCTCCCCTTTCAGGAGAACCACATACACACTCCACCACCCTCAGCTACCCACACCTCCCCAGAAGCAAGTCCAAGGTAGCCCCAAGCAGCTCCGCCTGTGCTCATGCTGTGGCACAGCAGCTGCTCAGCCGTGAGTCAATCAGCTTGCTTCTGCATAACCCAAACCCCCAGCACAGCCCGAGTGTCTCAGCTGTGAGTGTGCCTTAGGACTGCTGCAGGACAGGTCTCCTGGCTGCTAAGCAGAGCTTTGATTCTGAATCTGTCTCCCCATACAACATCCTCCTGCTCCCTGTGGGCACAATCAAGCATAGCAGGCAGATGCTCTATACTCCCAGCTTTCTCATCTTAACCTCTTCTGGTGGCGATAACAAACCAAGCCTGGAGCAAGAGCCATATTAAAGCACCAGGATTGCTGTGGTGGAAGCATGCCCTTTAAAGAAAACCCAAAAGGTGTAAGCTACTGCATGTTCTGCGTCAGGGTGCAGGCCTGAGCACTGCCAAGCTGGGGCTGAGACGAGGACCTGCTCTGTCCTTGCAATCAAGCCCTGCACAAAGCCAGGCACCCCCCGAGCTGCCTCCCAGGCAGGGCTGCACAACTCCACTGGAGCCCTCCAAGTTTAAGAGCAGTAAGTCCGTATGCTCCCCGCTGCACTCAGCAAGTTTCTGCCTCCAGCATCCCTGATGGAGACCCCCATTATAAAAAAATTCATGAAGCCATTACATTTTGTCTATCTAGACTGAATTTCAGGTGCAATACTTAGAGTTTGAAGAGAAGGTACACACATGCCAGCCATGGTGCTTGCCAGTTAATGCTTACACAACTTAAGGGAGCACTACCATAAAATATGAATCAAGTCCATCACACCCAGCCTGGTCCATAAAGCTTGCGGTAATGACACAGCTTCCACATGAGCTACCACGTTATCTATGTTATTAGGATCATTCATCAGGTTACTTATTGTCCCATACAGGTGAATGCCCCCTTGGTTTGGGATTTTTATAAGGTATTTATTCACCAAATCAGACAGATGAGTGCACTCTCCTTCCCTCTGGAGTCCTTCAGCTTCTGTGAGCTGCTCTGTCCACCACGAGTTGCGTGCTCACACCTTGAGGCCACCAGCAATACGTGCCTGTGAAGCTCAGTGGGGGAAAATGACTTTACCTGCAGTTTGTGAAACCTGGACACACTGAACAACTCCAAATTGCCACGTAAAGAACACAGAGCTTCAGTGCGTGAGACTACTTCCAACTATACCCCTCTGAAGCACTGTTGCCAATTTAATGAGTATTAGCAGTAGAGTGGTACAACATAGTTTCTCCTAAGCCATGCTGGAGGGGAAATGCACTTTGTTCTCTCTGAAAAAAAGGCTTTCAATTACACATCCAGCTCCTGTTTTAGAAGAGATTTTTCTATCACTGAGAAAAAAATGCTATTGCTGGTAGGGGTAAGTGGGACCTGCCCGCCCACCTTGCCGGTAAAGGGTCACACAACATGTGACAGTAACACAACACGCACCTTCCCATCTTCAACCTCTGCAACCCACCGGCCAGCCCAGGAAGCCTCACAGGTGTGTGCCGGAACACTCAGCTAGCAGCCAGGGAAACCTAAACCAGTTACAATCACATCAAACAGCAAGTTCTGCCTTACATAAAGATGCACAGGTAAGACATTAGTACAACCATCACACCTGTCAAAGCCATGAGCTCTTGGCACCCTTATTCTCTTCTTCCAAGGCAGAAGCATAGTCAGATTATACCACGGGCACCGAGACCAAGAATTTTTCTTCCAGATTCATTACATTACTCTGCTGCACAGAGCTCACGCAAGCGGTGCTCCTATTCAAACATGTACAGTGATCAAAGTACAGCTGAATTCATCCAAGAGAGTTTGCTAACCCAGTGGTTTTCTAGCGTTCTCACCAGAAAAACTTTGATTTTTGTTCAGACTTTGCATTCTAGCAGAGATTAGGCATTGTTACAGTCCCAGCCTAGCACAGAATATTATAGATTAGCACCACATCAGTGCCATGATGTCAAAACATCTAGTGAGCAACCACCACCATCATTTGGACTTCTGTGAAGTAGAGAGGTTTGACTATTGCCTCTAACCTTGAGTTCAGTGTATCTTAACAGCAAGTTTCCGTGTTACACTAATATATCCTAACAAGTGTATGCTAAGGTGTATGATATTTAATATTTAAACTTACACACAAGACCAGACTTGGAGAAACCGAACAGAAGCATCTTCAGAGGTCATCTAGTTCTTCCCACCGTAATTCTGTAGATACATCTACGCTAGGCCCCAGAGATTTATGGGCACCCATAGCTGGCCAGCACGATCAGGTATATAATGTACTCTATAGAGCCCCTTGTGAAGTCTGTAGATAAAAGTAGTACTGGGCAATCTTACTTCTAGGGAGACCTGTTGTATTGTTTAAACTTACTCCTTTTCTTTGGCAGCTGTATTTCACCTTCCCTTTTCTCCTCTGATTGAGGCCAAACAGATAATTGCGTCCCTTGGGTGTTACGTTTTCTAGATTCAGTTGTGGCTTTAACTCCAGTGATCCAGAGGAAGGAGCAGTCTCCTCCATCTTAGCTTAACAGCCAGAAGAGTCAAGCAGCAAATCACCCTGGAGTCAGTAATTTTTACCTTGTGACCTAGGAGACATCATTCATATTGCAACTTGGATCATATTTCTGGAACAAGACATGAAATTTTAATTACTGGAAGCTGGACCTGTGGAAAACATTCCTGTTTAATCTGTTTATCAGTGACTCCCAACAAGGGCTTTATGCAAGTGCCTTTATGCAACAGCCATGTTAGCCTGATCAAGCCCAAACTGACAGCTCTC